CAAGACCACCAGCATGCAGGAGCCAAGACAAGGCCGTTAGCCACAGGGACTCCCCGAGAGGCTGGTCGGGACCTCCCTGTTCAGAGCCCCTCGCTGCCTGTTCCTTGGGCAGGATGGGCCCTTCCATCCTGTGTCACCATGTCCTCAGGACCCAACAGGGAACAGGTGGCTCACTGCTCTAAATTAGGATGACTCGAGTTTATTTACAAGGAGACTATATACAGGGCTGTCTTTTTTTTTTTAAGATTTTTATTGGGGAATCGGGGAAGGGGAACAGACAAGTTGCTGTCCTTTTGTTCTTCAGTCTAGTTGTGGAGGATGTTGCTTCACTGGCCCAAGTTGGCACCATCATTGCACTCTTCCCGGGCGAGGCAGATCAGTCACCGGCTTCTGGACAGCCACTCACAGCGGCTGCTGGCTGCTCACGCTGGCTGCTGGCTACATACGGTAGCCCATGGCAACCCACTGCAGCAGGGGCTGCAGCCTATGCCGTCACCGGCGACTCACGGCAGCCCAGCTCCAGGTTGAGCTGTTGTTCAGCATCTTAGCTGTGGAGGGCAGTGTCACTGGCCCTCATATGTGGGATCCGAACCGAGGCCCTCTGGCGTCCCAAGCCAGCTCTTAACCAACACGCCACTCGGCCGGCCCCAGGGCTGTCTTGAGGGCAGGGGAGAGTGGGACCTCAGGGACAGCGCAGGATGCCAGAGTGGGTGGTGACAGCTGCTACCACCCAGCGCCAAAGATCAAGAAGAGGAAGCGGCCACTGGAACCGAGAAGGAGGGAGGGTGGCAGAGCAGCCCCTCCAGAGGAGGTCCAACACCCCAAGTCCAGGACAGAGCCAGCCTGAGAGCCTCCCAAGGGGAGAACCAGCGAGTAAACTCCTGACTCGCCCTCCTCCCTCCGGAAGCTGGAGGGCCAGGGCTCCAGTCCACGCAGGTCAGCCCCCAAGAGCAGGAAGCAGGGGTGAGAGGGGAGAGCGGGGCTGCCTGGGCGGATGGCAGACACCGGGCGCAGTCGCTCACAGAGCCCCTGCCCGTCCTCACAGCCAGCCACACAGCCCACCACCCTGCGACATCTCCCCTCCTCCCCACACCTGCGTCAGTTCCACCCTCTGTGCCCATGGTCCTCGGCTTCCCTTTGGAACTGACTGCCTTCCAGCCACCATTACTGTCCTGCTGGGCCAGAAACTCCCCGGCCACAGTAAAACAGAAGCCTTGACAGAGGTGGTTTAAGATGCTGGGATTAAGAGAATAGGAGTGAAGGAATTGGGGTCTGCAGCTCATTCGAGAAACTGCTGGGCAGGCAAGCAGTGTGTCAAGCTGGTAGGCCAGCAGAGCTGTGTTGTGGGGTCTTCTTTTCCTGTCACGGGAGAGACTGCAGTGAATTGCCAAAGCTGCGTTTTGGCGAGGAGGACTGGAGCCCGTGTGCAGCCGGAGTGACTGGTCGCAGATGGGGGCATAGACGTCCATCCCCAGGGACAGGAGCGAATGCAGAGTCTAGGATTTGCTGCAGAAGGTGAGCAGGTGAGCTGGACAGCCTCTTCTGTTTTCTACAGAAAACAGGAATCAAGGCCTCCTTATAAGCGTGAGAGTAATGGAGGCTGTTCGGAGGGCAGCGGAGGAAGGGAAGTCGTCACCCGGAGTGTGAGAGCTGAGTGGCAGTGCCTGGCCTGCTGTGGACAGTGGTCAGCCACTTCCTAAGTGAATCCTTAGGGTGATTGTGTGTTTTCCAGCAGTGTTGGCTGTGGAGTGGAGTGGGCACGGCTGGATCTTACCAGTTTTGCCAGGTGAATGTCATGGCAGGATCAAGGGACAAGTGTGCAGAGGGAGGTGGATAAATGACTTGACCATGGTCTTTAAGCTTTAACTTATCTATTCCTCTACTCATCCATCCACCATCCATCCATCCACCATCCATCCATCCACCATCCATCCACCATCCATCCACCCATCCACCCATCCATTCATCTATTCATTCATCTGTCCATTCATCCATCCATTCATCCATCCATCCACCATCCATCATCCATCCACCCATTCATCCATCCACCCATTCCACTGTCCGGGAATAGGTTTCCCCAACCTATTGACCAGTTACAGTTGGGGAAACCTATTCAGAGAGGATAAGTAGGCACCCAGGACCACCCGGTGGCTAAGAGGGGGGATTGGAGCCCCTCCCTACGCACCCCAGGGTCTGGACTCTGTCAGTCGCCTGTAAGCCTCCTGTCCCTCCCAGGACCCACCTGTGAAGGGCCTGTGGCGGGGCAGGGGACTGGGGCTGAGAGCCAGCCAGCCTGAGCTGCTGTCCCAGTCCGTCCAGTACTAGCCTAACAAGTCCCCTCAGTTTTACCAGCTGTGAAATGGGGAACCAGCAGTGTCCGCCGTGTGGGTTGAAGGGGATTAAATGAGTTCACCTGCAAAGCAGAGAGCACTGTGCTCAGATGTGCTGATTTTATCATCATGTCACAAATATCCGTAGATGTCCCGTCTCACGGCTGCCTCCTGTGCACCCCAGACACCCCTTCAGACCCTAGCATTCCACCACCTGGGTGACCCCACCTTTGTGTTGCAGGTCCCTGACAGTCAGTCTGGTTCTGGGCCCTAGCCAGAGATCCACTGCAGTGGGAGTGATTGGCAGCTGTCACTCATCCTGAATGGGATCCAGGAAGAGGAGATTTGGGAAAGTTGGGGTAGAGTGAGAAGGAAGAAGACAGGAGAGGAGCCTCCCTTTCTGGAGCCGTGGGAGTGGGGGGGCACTGGGAAGATGTAAGTTAGAGATGGTTCTAATCAAATATTTATCGGTTAACTCGTGCCGCAGGCTGCCTTTCCCTCACCCCCCTTCCCACACGTTCTCCTAGCTGGCCTGTCCCTCCCTCCTACCACCTGAGTGCTCCCCCACCCTGCTGCTGCTCCCACCTGCCCTGGCCCGCCCCCCACCCTGAGCCCACCTTCCTCCTCTCCACTGGGAGCTGGGCGACGTCACCAGCACATTTGCTAATCGTGGGTCGTGAGGTTTTCCTGGTGACTTTGGAGAAATGAGGCTGATACCTCCAGCGTGGAGCGTGCACTCGTGTGTACATGCGCGCGTGTTTCCCTCCAGCGTGGAGCGTGCACCCGTGTGTGCATGCACGTGTGTTTCCCTCCCATTGTCAGGAGCATGAGCGCCACTGCAGTTTTTGCAGAGAGGGAAGGGACCCCATGGTCTCACCAAGGAGGACAAGGTGTCAGGGGTCACCCCAAGAGTTAGGGGTGTCAGGCACTGAGGCAGCAGAGGCTGGCACTGGGGATTTGGGGGCAGCGCAAGGTTGGACCCTGGGCAGAGAGTTGGCCTCAGGCCTCCTTCTAGAAGGGAGGTTGGCAGGGCCCTGGCCTGAAGGCCAAACACCCAGCTAGGTCTTTGACTCACCATCGCCCCCGTGTGGCCAGGTCCCTCAGAGCACCTCACACTAAATTGATTCTGGTCTGAATTACTCTCCCTCTGGACTGCACGCCCCACAAAGGCTGCCCGTTCCACTCCCACAAAACCACAGGCTTGGCACCCCCCAGATGCCCAGTAAACAGTTGTTAGGTGAATAAGTCATAACTGAATGAAGGCTACGGCAGAGGGCAAGACGCGGTATGTTCTCTGGAAGGAGCACCTGTCTTGTGGGGCAAATGGACAGGGAGACAGACATCCAAACGTGCCAGGCTGGTGGCGTGATGGGGGAGGCGGGAGCACACACATGGCTTCTTCCTCAGCAGGGAGTCGGAAAGCGTCGTGAGTGCCAGACTGTCCAAGTCTGTGCGAGGGTCTTTCCGTGCAGGTGGGCTGCTCGAGTGAGAGATGGCACCTGTCCTTCCAGGTGAAGGGCAGTCTGTCCCCTGGGGACACTTTAGAAGACCCGAGTGCCTCACCCGCTCAGAGGGGCTGCTGCAAGCCTGCCTGCCCTCCCCCCAGCGTGTGTCTCCAGTGAGGGACAGCAAGTGGGAAAAGCCAGGACCCTACGCCTCGCCCACCTCCCCTGGGACACCACGAGGGACCCCAGTCCCTTCTCTGAGGCTGAGGGCCTTCCCGCCTGGGCTGCTTTTTATGTCCTGCCTCAGCACCCAGGCTGCAGGGGGAGGTCTGGGGTGGGGCCGAGAATCCATGCTGACGAGCTCCGAGGCGACGTCGGTGCCTCGGGTCAGGGCACCCCACTAGGTGAACCACTGCCCTGGAGCACCGCTGGGCCCTGGCCGGGGTCAGGCCTTCCAGAAGCCCTCGGGTCGCTGGGGTCGGCATCCTTTTTCCTCTGGGCAGCAGGCCTTAAAGAGGGCGGCAATCTTCTCAGGGGCCCTCTAGACAGAGGCTGGGGCTTTCTGTGCCCGGGGGCAGCACCTCACCACAGCGGCCCTTGGGGGTGGTGTTGCACCAGGCTCCATGTCTGCAGGCTGTGGGCGTCCTCTCCTCCGCCTGCTCCACTCCTGAGGAAGCCGGGGCTTAAACACCTTCTCGAGGAGGGCGGGCACGGGTGTGGCTTTGAGGGGCAGCTGCTGGTGCTGCTGGGACGCGGGCATCTCGACTGGATCCACGCCAGTCTCCTGGTGGTGACGCGTTCACAAAATGTCACTGCTGGGGACCTCGACCCAGATGGTGTCACTCTGTGATTCCTGACAACTGCATGTGAGTCCAGAGTTATTGCAGGATAAAACGTTTATTTTTTTATATTAGGTGGATTAAAAACAAACAAACAAAAAAAACTTTAGTGCTCTCCAGTCTGACAAGTATGGGTAAGTGGCCTCCACCCCTGGGCTCCCTGGGACGCCCCCAGCCCAGCAGGCACCTGTTCCCGCTCTGAGCTAGTGCCCGTGCTGGGGTGCCCCCACCTAGGGGGCCTGGAAAATGCCACTGAGAGTCCAGCATGGCAGTGATGGGCTCCTGAAGACCCCTGCTCAGCTGGGGAGCCGCTGTCCCCTGGCTGTGGGCAGGGCATTGTCCTGGCCCCCCAGGTCTAACCAGCCTTGCTTTCTCTCTTTCCACAGGGCAATCAGGACGCCACGGCTCCGCCCGAAGCAATGGCCCAGCCCTACCCCCCCGCCCAGTACCCCCCTCCACCACAGAACGGTATCCCCACCGAGTACGCCCCACCCCCACCACACCCCACGCAGGACTACTCCGGCCAGACCCCGGTCCCCCCAGAGCATGGCATGACCCTGTACACACCAGCACAGACCCACCCCGAGCAGCCGGGCACCGAGGCCAGCACACAGCCCATTGCTGGGGCCCAGACAGTGCCGGTAAGGGAGCCCCATGACCCCGGACCCAGAGGGGTGGCTCAGGACGGCGGGGAGGCAAGCCCGAGGGTGGGGGGCAGGCCCCATATCGGGGTCCTCACCCCAGGGAAGGCACTCGCAGCCTTGCCGCTCTCTGTCACCTGACACCAAGCATCTTTGGGTGGCACCTGCTTGGTCAGGCACAGCGGGGTCGGGCTGTGACCCCACTCCCAGCTTCCTGAGTCAGATGTCAGCCGAACTGTCACCTCAGCTGGGAGGCGCAGCATGTCCTCGGCTCCCGGTGACCTGTGAATGGGAAGCGAGGGGAATGGTGGAGGCCAGCGGCCTGAGCTCGCCCGCTGTCATGGGGGCGAGCTGGGAGGGCTGGCGGCCGGAGAGGAGGCCCGGGGGCTCAGAGCTGTCTGGGTTGCAGGCCCTCCTATCCTTTCTAATCACTTGTAATCTACCTGCTTGGCTGCCCTCCAATCAGATAGCTTCAATTATGTGGTTGTAATGCAGCCCCAAGGAGAAAGTGCTGAGCCCAGCACTTCTCAGACATTTCCTGACAGAAAGGAGCGTGAGGAGGAGTGGCCGCCGCCCAGGCCGACGAGGGTGGGCGCCCTGTGAAGGCAGCGCCACCCAGAGACCAGGTCCTGGAACCCTGCCTGCCCTGTCCCTCCCCTGCCCTCCCCATTGTCTCTCCACGTGCCCGCCCCCTCCGCCGCGCTGGCCTGTGGGGCCACGCCGCCGTCCCGGCTGGCTCTGTCCCAGCGCTGGCTGGCGGGGCTGGGCAGAAGGCCAGCAGTTCTGCGCTGCCCAGGAGTGTATCGCCCTGGCAGCCTCCAGTGGGTGCCCCCTCCACTGTGCCCCTCAGCCTTCACCTAATCCAGCCTGGCTCCCAAGATGCTGTGTGGATCCACACACCACTCGCTGCCCCCATGTGGCCAGCATCGTCCAAGCTCCCTGGGGAGAGAGCCCACCCAACCTGCACTCGGGGCTGGACCGGACCCTCGTCTGGGGCCCAGCCAGTGCCCGTCCTCCCTGCTCGGAGCACTGCCCAGCCCGAGTCTGCACGAAGCCATCAGACTCTTCCGTGCCCCGCCATGTGTGCTGCAGGTGGCCTCTTGGACGCCCCCGGGGTGCCCACAGATGGAAAAGCCAGGCCCACGGGTCATAACCTGAGCGCAAGACCGCACTTCCCGCAGCTTCTGCCTGTGCTGCTCTGAGGCCTCAAACCCATGACCTATGCGTGCTCAGAAGAGAGGTGCACGGAGCCGGGGCGCTCGTTGCAAACGCGTCACGCTGGCTGGCAGGTCTTTCCGATGGACCGCGGCAGACAGGGTGCATCCGATCAGACCTCATGACCTTCCTCCAGACAAACGGTGCGCAAACTCAAGAGGCAAGATGACCAGACGCGTGACGCCACAGAGCGGGGGCCGACAGCAATGCCTGTGCATCAGGAAGAGCCCGAGGCGTCCTCCTCCCGGGCCACCAGACACAGCCGGGCCAGGACAGATACCGTCTTCCTTCGCTCTGCAGACATCTGTGGGGCACCTCCTGTGGGCTGGGCACTGAACAGCACTGGGTACATAAAAGCAATGACTGGCCCTGCCCTGTGGTAGCCATCGGGTCCCACCAGCCAAGGACATAAAAGTCGAAGGGGCTAGTTGTGGCTCCTGTGGTTGTGAGAGTCCATGGGCCCTGAGGGGACCCAGGCTTCCCTGAGAAAAGTCCCCACAGAGAGGTGAGCACCTCTGCTGCAAAGTGCCTGGGCCGGAGAGCCTGCAGCCTGGGGAGGGGCCGCCTGGCCTGGCTGCCTCCCTTCCTTCAATCCCTCCTCCCTCCCTTCCTTCCTCCCTCCCTCCCTTTGGCCTGGGGTCTCTTCAGGTCCTGCGAGCGGTCAGGGTCTGCAGGAGGACAGGCCGTTCTCCTCCAGGCTCAGGCCCAGTAAAGCAAGGCAGGCGGAAGTCACTGGATAGCAGAACAGCCAGAGCGGCCCCCCGACCTCGGCCGCCCCTGGAGGGTGTGAGTGCTCTGGCCCTGGAGTACGTATCCCAGCAGAGTCTTCCCACCTCAGGGCAGCTGGAGAGGGTCCCCGACACCCGACACCCGGTCTGCTCTGAGATTCCAGGAGCCGCCTTCTCCCCAGCGGAACTGCCCGGGCGCTCCCCGCTGAAGGCCGAACCTCATATCCCATCCTGTGTGGGGCTCCCTCAGCTCATCGAGCCTCCTCGGGGCCTCCCCCAGGCAGCCCGGTGTTAGGACCCAGAGGGACAAGGCAGCAGCAGGGCAGGCGCTCAGCTTTTGTCTAGACCTGGCCTCTCCAGTATGTGGGTCCCTTTGTCACCATGGCATTTTCTATGTTCTTTTGGCCAAAGGCAGCATGGGATGCAGAGTGCGACTGGGGCTGCTGATGTGTGGTGGCTGCGTCACTACTCTGCAGCCCCCCGCCCCCCGCAGGGTACAGGCTGGGGACCACCTCCCGGAGGAGCACACATCACTCAAGGTCCTGTGGGTCCCCCGCAGGTGTCCTCCCCACCCGCCTGCCCACCCTGAGTCACGGGACAGCCAGCCAGAGGCGCTTCTCCTCCTGGAAGACCCTCCCACTCTTCCCACCTTCCTCTGGGACCCCGCATCCTTGTGCGGCGGTGGCCCCCACAGTAGGTGCTGCAGCCACAGAAACTCCACCAGGAGACACTCCCCCTGCGTTCTTGTCTCTCGGGCTTTGGGAAAGGGAAAGGGGTGGACCACGTTGGAGAGCGGCATGGAGAGGCAGACGAGTAGATAGAGGAGCCCGCCCCCAGACCACGCCAGGGGAAGGCCAGCTGTGTCTCAGGCAGGGCGCAAGCAGATAACACCCTCTGCGCCAACGCAACGAGTGTGGTGGCAGCCAAGAACACCCAAAAGATGACGTCGCTCAAAGAGAGCCTGCAGTGGACACACAGCTCTGCCCGGGGCAGGGGCTGCCCACTTCCCCCGGCTTCTGAAGAAGTTAGGAATGGATGGCTCAAGGCCTCCTCCAAGGCCTGCTCGCCACCACGCAGCCCACGGGGGTGAGCCTTGTCAGGCCAGCAGCGGGCGGACATCGCACGAGTGCCCGGGAGGTTTTGGAGGAGCAGGGATCAGGGGAGCTGGGCTGCAGAGGAAGGAAGTCTGCAAGAGACGCGTCATCTGTCCCAGACCAGCCGGCCTTGGCTCCACCCTGGCAGCAGGGCACCAGCCCTTGCTTGACCAGGCGCCCGAGCCCCCGGCCCCTTCCCAGGCCTCCTTGGCCGCTCCCTGTGCTGGGATAGGGGAGGCCCAGGCTCCTCGGGGCGGGAGGGCTGGCGATGTGCTGGGCGGCACCTGGCCCTCCCCTAGCCTGCCCACCAGGGCCCGGCTCCCAGACTTGAAGTGGGGGGCGGCGGGGGCTGCGATGGCTAAGGCGACTCAGAGCTGGGGAAGATGCAGAAGCAAAGCCGCTGAACAGCTCGGGGAGAGAAGCGTGTGCCGCTGCTGTTCATTTCCCTCCGCGTTTGAGCACTGAAGGCAAAGCGTGCTTTTAAAAGGGGGGATGAGGGAGAAAGCTCCCGGAAAGGTGGCGCGAGCTGCCTGGACCGCTGTGATAAATGGGGGGAGGCCTCCACCTCCCCTCGGGCGGCCAGCATGCTGTTACAGTCTGGGGGTTCACAGCGCATCTTACAGTTTTACAGCCGTTGAGCCCATTTATCTGCCTCCGTGTGCAGCTGCGCGCGGGCCAGCGGGCTCCGTCCCGTGCCCGTTTCCCCACCTCACCCTCGGCTGCTCCCTGAGGGCCTTTGGGGAGGAGGGGACCTGCATCCCGTGGACACAGTGGCCTCCGTCTCCTGTGATCCCTGCCCTACAGAGGGCTCCCTGGTCTCCTCTGGGAACCAGCTGGGCCTTCTGGCCGGGTTAACCACTGCCCTCTGCTGGCCTGAAGTCAGCATTGCAGGCCCCTCTCCTGGCGGGATTCCCAAATCTGGGTGACTATTTCGTCACCTGTACCCAGGAGCAGCCGATGGCACAGGTGTGTGGAATGCATTGGGGGGGGGTGCGACATGCACAGGAGGAACCACACCTTGCTGTTGCCAGAGGGGGTGGCTCAGGCCTCTGCAAGAATCAGCTGATGTGTGACGAGTGGCTCTGCCTGGATTGAGAGGCGTGGACAAGCCCTCGGGGGACCTAGCACCGGCTCGCTCTCTCCAGGGAAGAGTGTGACCAAGGGAGATGGAGGGAGCAGCAGGACTGAGGTGGGGGCCGGGCTGTTGGGCATCTCTAGGTCCTGAGATGGGGGGAGGAGTCCCCAGGTGTCTCTGAAGAGCCCAAAGGCAGCTGCCTGGCAGTGGCTGTCAGTCAGGAGCCAGGCCTGGTGCAGGTCACACCAGGACTCTGCAAAGACCTGCCGCCCTGCCCCTCCCCTCCAGCTGTTTCTACCACAGATGCCCCTTCCTGGGGGCGGCACTTGCTGACCCCCGAGGCACAGGCACTGGATCACCTGCAGCCCACACTTGGGCACACGTTCCTCTCACAGCGCAGCAGAAGGGCTCAGGGAACACACACCTGCCAGAGCTGGGCCTGCAGCACCGGACGGCCACCGGCTGAGAGGTCACAAGAGGACGGCGGCTTCAAGCCCGTGCTTGGGATCCTACGCCACGCGCTCACTGCTTGACACAGGAACGCAGAACCTACGAGCCGTTGGAACAGGGCGCCCCTGCAGCCCTCCAGACCCCCCCAGCTCACTGCCTAGAGCTGTGTCCTCGGCCTCCCTCAGCTGGGAGCTGGTGATGTCCCTCCCCTCGCCTATGGCACCTGGAGTCTGGCCAGAGGCTCCTGGCTGAACACAGGAGACGGAGGAGTGGCCCCTTCCTTCCGGAAAGGATGACCAGGGTGGCCATCGAGGACAGCCACTCGGCAGTTGACAGACGGACCCCCAGCCACCAGCCACAGCGTGGCCTTGGGCTCCGTGTCCTCAGCCTCCATGGAGACCTCTGCACTGGCCTCGCCCTGCTCACCCCTCCGAACTCTGGGCGCCTTATACTGGTCAGGGCTCCTCTGGTCGCCGGCAATGGACGCCCACCAGAAAGTGGCAGTTTCTGGAGGCCCATGGGACGTGCTCCAGGCAGCTCTCCTCTCGGCTTTTCTCGCAGCATCTGTGTTCAGCTTCTCACTACCAGCCAGCTGCCTCTGCTCCTCAGGCCACACGGGAGACCGCGGCCACCTGCACTCCCGCCTTCACTCCCTCCAGCATATCAGAAAGGCTCCGGTGTCTTTAGTGGAGCCAGGGACCCCCATACCTTCAGCTGGGGTTCTGTCTTTGGAAGCTGACCCAAGACAAGGATTCAAGTCCAAGGAGTGTATTGGGGAGGTGATCCCAAGAAACGTTGGAAGGGGAGCTGGGAATTGAGACAGGAAAGCAAAGGGAGAAATAAAACGTGCGTTCTCAGCCCATTGCCCCACGGGCACTGAGCTCAGCCCTCACAGGGCAATGGGGCAGAGGAGCCCCGTGGCAGGGAGCCAGCTGTGTGCCCACCCACACTGTCACTGGCTGAGGGCCACTCCTGGACACGAACGCGCTGACTTGCCTCACCAACGGGCTGAGCCAGGACAGTAAGTCTCAGGCTGGCAGTCAGCTGTCTGGTATGTCCCGTGAGTGGCACACAGAGGGCTTCCGGCCCTGGCGGCCCGGACGTGGTGAGCTGACCGGGCACCTCGGTCAGCCAGCCACTCATCACCCAGCCAGCGTTGATGGAGAGCCTGCCGCAGGTCTTTGGCTCTGGTGATTCAGCAGAGCTGGACCAGGCTAACAGCCAGCCTGGCGGTGAGCAGGCGGCACGGCCCTGGGGAAGTCGTGCCCACGCCACCAGCCAGTCTGCTCACCACCCTGACACTGCTCTACCTCAGGGCCTCGTCACAGCCCCGTCCTCATGGGGAGCTGGTGGCGGTGGGGGCCCTGCTTGGTGGCAGCTTTGTTTCCTGAGATCCAGGTTTTGTGGAAACCCCCTGTTGACCAATGGTTGGGTCCAAAATGGGTACCAGCTAGAAAAGATTGAACTTGGTCACCCAGAGCGTGGCCCCAAAGTGCAGAGCAGAGTGGAGCTAGAATAAGGGGCAGCGCACCGGTGACCATGGGGTGGGGGACAGCACCCCTACAGATGTGTGCCCAGGGGCGGGCTCGGAGATCTTCACCTTCTCATAGGCCTTGAAACCTTGGTTTCCTCCCGGAGAATAGGGCAAACTGGTGACCTTGACAACCAGTCCATGGGGCTGGGAGATGACTGAGGTCAGACCTCTGTGGCCAGGGCCGAGCTGAGGGAGTGGAGAGCACAGTGGGCCAAGGAGGCTGCCTTGCGGTGGCATCATGGGCAGAGATCTGAGGAGGCACCTCTGACCTGGAGATGCAGCCGTGCCGTGCCCTGTGCGAGCTGCCTGCCCAGCTGCTCTGTCTGATCTGGCCCCAGAGGCGGGGAGTCCAAGGGGGCTGGGCTCGATCTGGTCTTCAGACTGTCCCCTTGCTCAGGGATGGGGTCTGAGAGGGGCACCTCACAGCCTGGTCCTCTCTCCACAGCAGACAGACGAGGCGGCACAGACGGACAGCCAGCCGCTCCACCCCTCCGACCCCACAGAGAAACAGCAGCCCAAGAGGCTACACGTCTCCAACATTCCCTTCCGGTTCAGGGACCCTGACCTGCGGCAAATGTTCGGGGTGAGTGTGTGCAGGCCCTCCGTCCTGCCCCCCACGGCCTCCTGCCTCCTGGACCAGCCAGCTCTGACCCGAGTCTGTAGGGTGAGAAGGAGGGGAGCATAGCTCAGGGTAGCGGACCTGCTGTCACCACTGACCCTCGGCCAGGACGGAGGCCACCGCCGCCGCCTCCTTCCTCAGGGCCTCATAGGGTCGCTCGGGGCCAAGGCCATTGCCAGTTGGGTTATGACTCTGCTGCTGCCCCCCGTACCCCTCAGAGGGCACCTGGAGGGGCCGCCCAGCGTCCTGGCCTCACACCCAGCAGCGCCCAGCCCCTGCCTCTCCTGCAGGCCTGGGGGCCGGGCACTCAGCCTCCTGGGGCCTGCCTCTCTGGGCTCCGGAGGGGGCGACACGACCGTGCATGACAGCTAGGAAGCAAGCGCCTGGCGGTTTCCTTCCGGGGTTCTCCAGGTCTACTCGCTCGTGGGTTTTGCACTGTGGGGTTTCAGCCACTCGCACGCGGGGTTGCTGTGAGAGCCCTCACGTCCTGTGGTTACTTGATTCTGTCACTTGACTAAGCACCCAGCAGGTGCTGATGCCCACTGGGCTGCCGAGTTGGGGGCGGGCAGGCAGCCGCCCAGCCACAGAGCACACGAGCACTTGGCTCGTGTCTCCCCCTCGCTGTCCTCGCTAACCCCAAGTCTCCGTCTGCCTGCACCGTGCCACCCCGCCCTCTGCCATGAGCCAGGCCGGCCCTGGCCCCTGAACCCCAGCCCTCCCTCACACCACCCCCACCTCAGACCGGATTTGTCCGGTGAATGGGAGGTACCTGGAGAGCAGCTTCAGAATGGACCCCGCACCCACACGACCTCACCCCAGATAGCCACTCCCCTTCTTGGGGGCCAGGCCCTTCTGAATTTGGGGCTTTGACCTGGTGGGGTGCTGGCAGGATTTAGAATTATGAGGAGGTGAAGATTCTGCCCCTCAGCCCTGGACCCTGCGGCTACCAAATCCCTCTGAGCCTCGGGCCGCGCTGAGAGCAGCTGCGCATGGAGCTCTCGCCAACCTGGTCCCCGCGTGCCGCCCATCGGCTCCCTGGTCCCCACGTGCCGCCCACTGGCTCCCTGGCCCCTGCACCAGGGTGGGCACCTTCCTCCCTGTCTTCAGCACTCAGCGAGTGGGGATTGTGTTGCTGGCTGGCCCCACCTTGCTGCCCCACCCCCCGGATATTGCAAGGTGAAGGGAAACCCATCATTATACTGGAGGCCTCAGGACATGCCCCTCGGCACCTCACCGACATTTTGGGGACATGCTCACAGGTTGATGGTCTCCCGTGCCAGTGAAAGAGACAGGGCTGTCCCGTGGCAGTTCCAGGCCAGTGACAAGGCAGGAACGGGGAACCAGGGCCTCGGGCCCATCTGGCCAGTAAGTCCCGGTCAGGCAGAGGGGCCTGGGCTCCAGTCACTGTCGCTCTGCACCCCACACAGCCCGGCCCCAGGCAGCACAGACACAAGACGTGCAGAGTCCCTCCATGGCCCTTTCTCTTCCAGGCATTCCTGCTCCCAGCCAACCACCCGCTTTTTGGGGAGGACTTTTCCACAGCCCTTTACTCTTTAGTGTGAGTTAGGGGTGGCTGTCTGCAGCTTACGGCAGTCGCAGCTGGGCGAGGAGAGATGTATGAGGGATGCCACCCTGCCCGTGGGCAGCCACTGCCCTGGCATGTAGATGGGGCCCGTGTCCTGGCAGGAAAAGCTGTCTCCATGAGAAGGTGGGGAGGGGCGTCCCCGTCCCCCCATGCTACACCGAGAGCCTGCTCCCTTCTGTGCCCAGGAGGAAAGGGGGGCCAGGGCAGAGGACCAGACAGAGTGGGAGTGAGGATGTCCTGGGGAGCAGGCGTGCTGGGCCAGCAGCGTTCACCCACCTTCTCCTGTCTCCCCCACCCTCTCTCTGTCTCTGCAGCAATTCGGAAAAATATTAGACGTGGAGATCATTTTTAACGAGCGGGGCTCCAAGGTGGGTGCCGCCCAGAGGCCGCCACCATTACAGCGCCGGCTGTAGGTCCCGCCAGGCTAACGTGTGACATGTGCGTTTCCTTCCTGGAGAGCTTCGCGCCCGAGGACCCCTGAGCGACACGGGTGCTTGTATTCCCACTCCTCTGACCCCCACTCCTTCCCCACCCCACTGTCTGTGTTGTTGCTGCTGCTGCTGACACTCCCTTCTCTCTAAGCTGCCAGGACCTCTCTGTCTGCACTGGGGGCCGATGCCAGCTTGGAATTGGCCTGGAGGCTTGGGGGAGGGGCTGCAGGGTGGGCAGGTGGGAGGACAGACGCCCAGCAAAGACAAGCCCTGTTTCCCTGGGGAAGGAAGACACGGCCCTGCCCCCGGCTCCCAGGGTGAAGGTGGGTGGGGCTGTCCCCCCAGGTCCTGAAACCCAGCCGCTGCCCCCACTCCCAGGTGGGGTTAGGACTGCTGTCCTGGACGCTGGCCACTGGCCAGGTTAGCGTCTCTTTTGTAGCTTTGCCCTGTCCCCTCAGAGGGGCCAGGCGGTCAGCTCAGGCCGGGCTCAGGCCAAGCCGACGGCTGCCCCCACCCCTGGGGCCACACCCCTCCTGGGCATCCTGCTGGTGGCACCAGGACAGACCTCTGGGCTGCCTGAGTCTCTCCTTCAACTCAGCTGACTCGACCCCCCTCTCTCTCTCCCCCTCTCTCTTCGCCCCTCCCCGTTGCCCCGCCCCCACCCCCACGCCTCCTTTTTTTTTTTCTCTTTCTCATCCTATGTCTTTCTCTCCATGTCTGTCCTTCTCCGCTCACAGGGTTTTGGGTTTGTAACTTTTGAAACTAGCTCAGATGCTGACCGAGCCCGGGAGAAGCTGAATGGGACGATCGTAGAGGGACGGAAAATTGAGGTGCTCAGATAAGTGTGCTGGGGCAGGGATGCCCGCCACCCGGGGTCCCCAGCCCAGTCCCCCTGCTGCCTGGCAGAGCGCCAGGCCAGGAAGCCGGGTGGGGGGGTAGGGTGGGGGGGACAGGGCAAGGCCATGCCGAGGCCAGAGCCCAGCCTGTCACATGCCACCATTGTGGGTCTAGAACTTCAGACCCACTCAAGAACCCCCCTCCCCGACCTCCCCTCTCCTTCCTGAAAGAGGCCCCCCAACCGGGGAGTCAGCTAGACACTGGGAAGACCCCAGAAATCATGTGTTTCACACTTGACAGCTCCAAGGACCTCTGCCAGCCCAGCCTGTCCGCCAGTTGTGAGGGGGCCGTTAGTCCCACGTGACCCCTCTCACAGGGCGCAGCAGCTGCCTCCTCTCACGCCCCCACCCGTGCTGCCAACACCCTGCAGTTTCCCCGCCGCCTTCATCCCCAGAGGGTCCGCAGCAAATGTCCAGGGCCTAGCTAGGGACCCTGCCCTGCCCTGGTGGACTGCAGGACCCTCCCCCCACCCCCAGTGCTGTGGCTCTGGGTGTCTGGGAGCTGGGCTCCCCAACAGGCAGGGCAGCGAAGGGTGATGGAGACGGAGGGGTCAACAGCTAGCGTGGAGCCCACAGGGGAAGGGAGGTGGAAGGGTCTTGGGGGAAGGTTCCAGAGGATGGGGCACTGGAGGCACTGACCTTGGCCAGTTCTCACAGCGTCTGGTGACACCTCAGGCTGCAGCCTAAGGCCCCCAGGGTAGGGGGCGAGATGGGGGATACGGGATGGCCCACACCCTTTCTGGGGTTCCACCGCCTGCCCTGTTCTCTGCTCCCTCCTACAGAGTTCTTCCTCCTTTTTCCGACAGCCCCACCTGGCTCCCTGGGCAGCATGACCAGGGGCTTAAATGTCTAGAGTGTAGGGCCCACCCCCTTGGCACCCGCCTGCCCCTCCCTCATCAGCCTTGCCCCCCACGGGCACATGGGCACCATCAGAAAGCTCTGCTGGCCTCGAGGGAATGGGGTGGTGCCCCCACAGGGAGGAGTGCCACCTGGGTGCCCACTGCTGGAGGCCTCAGCAGCCACCTGGGCCAGAGGCACCTTAGGGGCAGGTCTGCCAGCCAGCCTGAGGCCACTTTGTAGAGAGTCCCACAGCCAGCTTCTCTCATCTCAGGGCTGCCCGAGAGAGTCTGGGCTTGGTTTGTAGGAACAGCCGTGGAGAAGTCAAGAGCCAGAGGGCTGGGCAGAGTGCCTGAGCCAGGCTGGGCACTGGCCAGTGCTGGCAGCAGGGGTGGCCAAGGCTCCCTGGAGGCAGGGCCGCAGGGCATGCCAGAGTGGGGCCAGGCTGGCAGCACAGGCTGTCCCGTGCCTCCGCCTGGGTGCCCCAGGGCCTCTGTCCCAGCTCCCAGCTTCCTCTGTGGGGAGCCATGCAGGAGAAATGCAAAGCAGGACTGGGGCGGCCAGTGGGCCCCGTAGAGGCTAACGCACCCCTCACCCTCTCCCTCCGTCTCTCTGGGCAGGTCAATAATGCCACGGCCCGCGTCATGACCAACAAGAAGACTGCGAATCCCTACACCAATGGTAAGGGGCCCAGGACCCCGGGGAGGCTGCGGGGGCCACCAGCTCGGACAGAGGCCCTGGAAGATGCTAAGTGTCCTTCGTGTCCCTTTCAGGAGGGGGCTGGGCCGCCCACCCTCACCCACACAGCTAGCGGACTCCTGGCCTTTCCTGGTGCTTGGCACCCAGAACGCACAGGGATGGCTGCGGGCACAGCAGGATGGCGGCCACTTCTGGGCTTACGTATTATTCCTAAGCACCGAGGCAGGCCCTGGGCTAATGGTGCTCAGCGTTTACTAAGTGTGATGGCGATGGAGGGACAGTCCCCCGCTCAGGCCTTGGAAACACTGGAAAGTCCAGGCGCCCGGACTGAGTCCCACTGGCCCATGTGTGTCAACGGCACACGGGACCATGAGAAGTGGCCGTTCCTCTTTGAAAATGACCCTGCTGATGCTGAGTGCTGGCTGCTGAGAGAGTTGGAGGGACCGTCCTCGGTCGCTGCGTGTCTTCACTCCACCAGGCAGCAGGCACTGGTTGGAGTGTAGCTGGCCGTGTGGCAGGCGGGGCCTCCTTGAGCTCGGGCGCGGTGCCGGGCAGCAGCAGGCATGCTCACAGTCAGGACGACTCTCCCTGCAGGAAGAGCGAGGTCAGGGTGGACAGAGCCACCCCAGTCTCTGTCCCTGTGTGAGTCAGGTGCTGGGCCAGTGGGAAGCCGAAGGCCGGGCAGTGGGAGGGTCTGCCCACCCGCCGGCCCACCAGCGGGGCCTCCCCCTCTATCTGGGGACTGGGGCTACACCGGGCCCCATTTAGACTAGATTATCGTGGCTCCCATCCCACCTTTTTGAGGCCTCTCAAAGCTCAAATTCTTTCTAAAAGTCTGGGGGTGCCCGGCTTTGTCAGGGTCCTGAGTGCCCACTGGGCATGATCCTGCTGTGACCTGGTGCTTGGCGCAGGAAGGGAAGGCCATAGGGTGGCATCGGGGCTGCACCACCACCGGAGCCAGCTGCCCACTGTTCCCCAAGAGCCCCTGCTTCCTGAGCAGCACTGGGGTTCAGAGCAGAGCCCAGCCCTGAGTGACTGCACCTTGTCATGGAGGGACACAGAACTGAGACTGCGCAATGACAAGGGACGGAGAGCGGGTGAAGCCACAGCTCACCTCTGCATCAGCGCCATAGCAGCTTCACCTAATCGTCTTTGTGGGCCTAGGCCAGAGTAACAGTGGCTGACAGGGCCAGCCCTGGGCTGTCTGTGAGCTGGCAGTGGAGGCCGGACACAGGCTCTGGTGGCCTCGGCATGCAGCTTGACGTGGCTTAAACACTCCATAAACTGCAGGGCGCTCAGAAATTCATCGGCTGGTGGGCAGAAGTTTCCACCGTAGAAAAGAAACTCACCAGGTTTGGCCAGGTGTTACTGTTTACAGAAGAACGAGGGACCACCCAGGTGGGTCTCAGGCTGCCTCTGATGTGGGGTCAGGGACAGTGCAATGCGGCCAGCTGTGGCCGGTGGAGGTGCTCAGACAGGAAGCCAGAATTCACGGGTAGACGTGCCAGAAGGCCAGAGGAGCAGGTAGAGGCACCCAGGATTCTAGAAGTGGCAGGTGGAGGTGCCAGGAGGCTGTCTGACGTAGCAGCTCAACTTCCATGAATGGACCCAGTAGAGCCACCAGGATGGAGGCTGGGGAGGTGGGCTTGGGTCACTGGCTCCAAGGACCCTGCACCATCGTGGATTCTTACTAAGAAGACTCAGTTCTTGGGACTGCAGGTTTCTCAGGACATGAAACATTTCTTCCCTCCTAACCTGAGATTTATAGAAGATTTGAGTCCCAGCAGTAATGTTCAGACGCAGACAGCTGTGCTGAGGTGTGGTGTGGGCCAGGGGTGGAAGGCAGCCCACAGGCTCGTGGAGAATGGGCCTCCGGGAGAAACAAGGCTGCCCGGGCGGCAGTGGCGCTGTTAGAATCGGGGTGTGGGGCTCACGGGTGGAGTCTGCCACCCACCGATGGCCTGGCCGGGCCCAGCCTTTTGCCATGCTCTCCAGACATGTCTCGCCGGCTGACCAGTGGGCTCGGGTCCCAGCCTGTGGGGGATGCTGCAATGATATGACCCGGGTAGGCGAAGGGGGCCGGGGCTGGGAACTGCCCACGCTGTCTGAACGCCTGGAGCAGAGCCCACCCAGTCAGCTGCATTCCTGCCCCAGAGGCCTCAGGTGGAAGCCGACCTTGGCTCATGCCCCTGGGTCACTGGCCCAGGTGCAGCAGCCCTGAGCAGCCCACTGGCAGAGGGAGAGGCTGGGGTGCAGGTTACGGCTGGGAGCCAGGCAGCGGCCCGGCACGCGGGTCTGGCGTCTGACGGCTGGGTTTGGATGTGGCCCTGCCACATCCCAGCTCCAAGATGCACCTCGGACCCGCACTCGCTCATCTGTAAAAGAGAGGTGCGCTACCTACCTCAGGGGGTGGGTTTAGAACGAGTGCGCATGGTAAAGTGCTCAGGAAATGCCAGCCATCATTATCCCGGATCCAAAGGCCCGCCCTCTCCAGGTGCCGTCCTCCCACTGGCTGCCTGGGGAGAGACAGACAGGAGGATAGTGAGAGAGGACTCAGCACTGGGAAGAGGAGCCCTCGGGAGCTTGTCCCCGGACGTGGACTCTGGGGCAGGCGGGGGGAGGAGGTTACAGGCAGAGGCCGGGCACCGTTGGGCAGCCTCTGACCCTCCCAGAAGGCAGCCGGGCACCTGCGCGGGACAGCGCTCCCACGACTGGGCTGCCTTGCCGCCAGAACCCTTCATCCCACCTGGCGGCCTGCAGATGGTTACAGAAGGGGCTCCACGTTCCCTTCCGACTTCTCCCCTGCAAAGATCGCAGAGCCCCAAGCTGCAGGGTCCGGGTGCCCCCAGGGAAGGGGAGGCCCAGGGGCATGCTGGGGAGGGCCCCACGTTGAACAGAATCAAGACAGCCAGGCGGATGGGTGGGGAGTGACTGGCTCCCTCTTGTTAGGGAGAGGGAGCCCAGCGGGTGAGGCTGCAGCATGGGAGCAGGGGGCCAGGGTCTGTGGTCCCACCAGCTCTCTGCAGAGGCCATGCCCTGGAATGTCCCCGTGGGGCTCGGCCTGGTGTCCCTGGGGGCTCCCCAGGTGTAGTGTGCAGCGGGAAGAGGATGGGGAAGATGGTGATTGGATTCTTTGCTTCTGCTGTAGGCTGGAAGCTCAACCCCGTGGTGGGCGCAGTCTATGGGCCTGAATTCTATGCAGGTAAAGGCTGGAACGGTGGAGGGGGCGTGGGCGGGGCGTGGGCGGTCACTGGCCAGGAAGGCCAGGCGGGTTGGAGGTGTAGTAGGGGGCGTAGCAGGTATGGGGCGTGGCCGGCGGATGCGGTCACCAGGGGCGTGGCAGGTGGGTGTGGCCAGGGGGGCTGAGGCTGGTGGGCGTGGCCAGGTGTGGCTGCGTGTCCCCCAGCCGTCCTGCCTGCCCTCACCCTGTCTCGGCCTCTCCTCTCATTCTGTCTCCCCTCCCACCCCCTTTCCTGCAGTGACCGGGTTCCCTTACCCCACCACGGGCACAGCCGTTGCCTACAGGGGCGCGCACCTACGGGGCCGGGGCCGGGCTGTGTACAATACGTTCCGGGCTGCGCCGCCCCCACCCCCCATCCCAACTTATGGAGCGTGAGTACCTTGGGGCGCTCGGGAGGGAGGCGCGGAGAAAGGCCCAGGGGGTGTGGGAAGGGAGGTCCGAGGCAGCCGGAGGAACTAGGCCACCGTTCCAGGACTGCGGTGGGCTGTGGAAACCCCCAGACCTCCACACCGCAGTCGCCTCCTGATACGTGGCACCCCGCCCCCACCCTGCCACAGGGAACTAAGGGTCACTGGCATGCAGGGGACATTTAGAGCCCCAGCCAGAAGCTTTCATGGGATCATGGTTCGCCCTGGAGTTCAGTGAGGGCCTTCTGTACGCCCGCCCCGGACCATGGTCCCTGCGACCCTGACGGGGGAGGGACAGCTGCCTGGGGTGGAGTGGGAGGAGGGTACGGACGGGCCCAGTGGGCCCCTGGGTTTGTGGGAGAAAGGAGCTGACCAGCAAGGGTGTTACTCTATTGTTATACCAAAACAGGGCACTGGAGCAAACGCTTGTTAAAATGCCAGTCCCATGGGCAGGGCTGGCACCCTGCCCCCTCCCTCAGCAGACACCGGAGCCGGCCTACCCCACCTCTCCAGCGTTCCCACCACTTTCTTGTCCGTTTGCTTCCAGGGTCGTGTATCAGGATGGCTTTTATGGTGCTGAAATTTATGTAAGTGTAGCCCCGGGGCGGGAAGGGCGGCTCCCGGCATGGCTTGTTTCCAGGAGCTGTGTTTCGCCCGTCCCTGTCCCATCCCCCAGCTCCACTCCTGTGCTCGGAACCCAGGAGGACGAGGGCGCCCTGTCTGCCCAGAGCGCTGTGTCCCTGGGGACGTCACACAGCCCAGTCTGAGTTATCCGTGCTCACGGGGGGAGCCGGGGGAGCCAAAGGCATGTCTCCCCCATTTCAGAGGCTGTGTGCGATAGGGCAGTAGGCAGCTCTCCCGTGTCCCCACCCACATTGGGGTCACCGTGAGCCCCATCGGCGAGGCCCGGAGAGAGACCACGAGGTGGGGGCTCCCTTCATTGGGCTGCACTCCCTGCTTCTGTAGCTCAGGCACCCCACACAAGTGCCAGAGATCAAGGCACGGTCTGAGTAATGCCCTCTGCCCTCGCCCCATCCCCGGGTCCAGGACGGTACCCAGAATCAGCCCCGGGTTCTCCAGGCCCGTCGGCATTGCAGTCCAGGGCTCCTGGCCTGGTGGCAGGTCTGTAGGCACCTGCAGTGTGCCAAGGCCTCGCACACAGCCAGACGTGGAATTGGTGCCCACCGGTGTGTGTTGACCGCACACCCGATGCACGAGTGAACGAATGAAGTTCACAGACACCCCTACCTCCCCTCGAACCGCACCGTTCGACGGTGTGCAGTCCTCAGGCCTCCAGTAGAGCGAGAAGCTAGGTCTCCCCAGGCCTGCACCAGCCAACCATCACTGCCAAGGTGGAAGTGGGAAGCCCGTGCCCACCCCGCTGAGTCCCTGTGTGTCTCTCCGTCCCCCTTCCCTTGCAGGGAGGCTACGCAGCCTACAGATACGCTCAGCCGGCGGCGGCCGCAGCAGCCTACAGTGACAGGTACCAGCTGGGGGCAGTGAGCTGAGCGGGACAGGGGCAGGGAGAGGACAGACTGGTCCCTACAGGGCTGGGCTCAGACAGACAGCCTTGCCCGCTGCTCAGGGCCTGGGGTTGCCTCGCCCTGGTGGGCACCGAGGCGAGTAGGCCTGAATGGGCTTGGAGACCCCACGCCAGCGAGCTTCCAAATTCTGTAATCACGTCCTGCTTGGGCGAGGGGAGGCCGCGGAGCCCCCAGTTCTCGAGTAGCAGACAGCGCCTCTAAGTTTCAATCCTGGAGGCTGACCGCCCCCCAAGCTCTCAAGAGCCCGAGTGACGGAGGCAGTCAGGGGCCTTCTCTTCCGCCCTCTACGCCTCTACGTCTCTGGTGCTTAGCGCTCCCGGGTCTGAGACATGGCACCCGCCCACCTCCTCCCAGGCGGGTGGTGAGAGCAGGTGGGCCACTTGAGAGCAGCAGCCTCTGCCCGGCGGTGAGCACACCCAGAGGCTGGTGGGTGGCAGTCTTTGTTTGTTGAGGTCCTGGGGGTACCCCAGCAGGGCGGCCTGGCCTGGTGCCTTTCCCTGTGGGTGCCCAGCCTGTTGGCCGCATAGCATCTCCTTGGGGAAGTGTACAGGTCCCTGTGCCAGGCACACAGTGGGCACCTCATGGAGGGCAGCCATTGCCCTTATCCACGGCGCTGGCTCTGGCCTGGGGACCGCCTGGCCCTCCCTACCAGTGGCAGGCGGCACCTTCTGACCCAAACCTTCCTCGCAGCCTCTCACTGCATCTCAGGTGTGTGGGGGTTTGGTCAGGTGCACAGCGGGCCCCGGGCCCCACGGCCCAGGCCTGTCCTCTAAGAAGCTGGTATTTCACATGCAAAATAGATTTGAGTGAGAGGAAGGTCATCGAGGGGGCACAGTGCTGCCTGCCCCCTTCCCTGCAGTGTCCCTACCCCACCC